ATGTATACATACATATGTGCGTGTATGTGTATGTGTATATAGGCATATATATACATATACAATAACATATATATGTGTATGTACATTTTTTTTTTTTTTTTTTTTTTTTTTTTTGAGTGAATGACATTTATATTAATGATGCTTAATTTGTTTATCTGTTTATTTTTATCTGTTTTTTTTTTTTTCGATGGATGAAAGGAAGGCAATTTACTTCTTTTATATTTCTTTCTTCGATAGAAATGATTGATTAGTAATCATTCCATTTTTCAACGACACAATATCATAGCAGCATAAAAAATATTTGTATATGAATAATCGATAGATGGATCCCATTAATCGTACCTATAAGAGGATCATATCATAACTGTTTTTTTTTTTTTTTTAAGCAAAGGTAATAGATGTTTTTATTTATATAAGGCTATTCAATTTATCTGATGTTTTCTATTTATATGCATATATATTTAAGATGTGTACATATTTTAATGCATAATAAATATGAGTCTTTGGATCTAAAGACAAACTAGACGCTTTTCAAAATCACATCAAATTAAGTAAAATCACCTGCTTCCTTATGAAAACGGACAGCGTACATTATGTTAAGGTAGGGATATCAGAGTAGGGTTTCGATATAACGAGTTACGGTTATTACGATAGTGGCGGAGATGAAGATGATGATAATGATAATAAATATAATGATGAGAATAACACTGATAATGATAATGATAATTGTACCAGTAGTAGTAGTATTTTTATTGTAATGATAACATTAATATTGATAATTATACCAATGACAACAATAATAATAATAACAATAACGATATTCGCAATAATCATAATGAAAATGATAATATCAATGGTAATACTAATGAATGTCGTAAAAATATTTGTAATATTAACAAAATCGATGATTATGATAATAATGATAATATATGTGTTAAAGTTGAGGTGTTAATTGAAACAGTGGGGACAATGGTAAGAGTATCAATGATAATAAATATGATAATATTGATGATAATAGTAACAATAATAAACATGAAAATAGTTACTCTATTAAGAATACCATGGATAACAAAATTATAATGTTGATGATAGTAATGATGATTAGTAACAATAAGCTATCTACCTTCCATAGACATTACCTATCTACTCATATGTAAGGAGTTTTACACACACTCCTCTTTGGCACTCGGTACATATTAATGAGTAGTTCAAATCCGAAATCAGAAATACGGAGGTGTATTTTATGAAAAAAAGAATAATGCATTACCAGTCGTAATGGAAATTTATTGATATTAATAACGGTGATGAAAAATGAACATCATGTTAATAACAATGATAATAGTAACAATAGCGATGATAATGATGACCATAAACACATAAATATCAATAATCATACTGATGATAATTATGCTAAAAATGATACTGATAATAATCATCAAAATAATTACCGTTATTATTATCATTATTGTTATCATTATAAACAAGATTGTTATTATTATTAGCATTATTATAGAGGTTATACTATTATAAACAAGATTGA